AAAGGGAATGAAGGGATGCTATGAGAGAAGAGATGAATGTATTAGAGAAGAATAAAACATGGGAGATCGTTGATAAACCAAAGGGAAAAACATTGTTGATTGCAAATGGATTTTTACATTGAAGTACAAGGGTGATGGATCCCTTGAAATATATAAAGCAAGGTTAGTAGCCAAATGATACACTCAAACTTATGGGGTGGATTATCAAGAAACATTTGCTCCAGTTGCAAAAAAGAACACAGTAAGAATTTTGTTATCATTGACTGCTCACTTTAATTGGCAACTGCTACAATATGATGTTAAGAACGCATTCCTCCATGGTGACTTAAATGAGGAAATCTACATGAACATTCAACCAGGATTTGAAGGGGACACTGGTAACAAGGTGTGCAAACTGAAAAAAGCCCTTTTATGGGTTAAACAATCTCCTAGAGCATGGTTTGGCAGATTTGCAAAAGTCATGAAGGAATTTGGGTACAAACAAAGCCAAGGTGACCACACGCTTTTCATTAAGCATTCAGCTGAAGTGGGAGTGACTGTTCTTTTAGTCTATATGGACGACATCATAATGACTGGAAATGATGAGAAAGAGAAGCATGAATTAAATGTGAGACTAATGAAAGAATTTGAAATAAAAGAACTAGGGAAATTGAAGTATTTCATCAGTATTGAGGTGGCATATTCTAGACAAGGGATCTTCATATCTCAACAAAAGTACGTGCTTGATTTATTGGCAGAAACAGGGAAGATTGGGTGTAAGCCGATTTCTACTCCAATAGATCCAAACTATAAATTGGGAGAAGCTAAAGAAGAACCAGCTGTGGATAAAAGAATGTACCAGAGGTTGGTTGGCAGACTTATATACCTTGCTCACACTAAACCAGACATAGCATATTCTGTAGGTTTGATCAGCCAATTCATGAATGATCCAAGAGAACCTCATCTTCAAGCTGCTTACAGGGTACTGCACTACTTGAAAGGTAATCTAGGGAAATGAATCTTGCTCAAAAGGAATGACACTCTTACTTTGGAAGCCTACACCGATGCTAACTATGTTGGCTCCCTAGTGGATAGATGATCAACTGCAGGGTATTGTACTTTTCTTAGAGGTAACCTAGTGACATGGAGGAGCAAGAAGCAGAATGTAGTGCGAAGGTCATCAGAAGAATCAGAATTTAGGGCAATTGCTCAAGGATTATGCGAATTACTTTGGCTAAGGATCATTTTGGATGATTTGAGAGTCAAATGGGAGGGTCCTATGAAGCTTTACTGTGACAATAAGTCAGCTATTAATGTAGCTCATAATCCTATATAACATGATAGGACAAAGCATATTGAAATTGATAGACATTTCATCAAAGAAAAAATGGAGGAAGGGTTAGTATGTATGTCCTATGTTCTATCAGAGAGACAATTAGCCGATGTTCTAACAAAGGGGCTGAACAGTTCGAGTTTCCATGATCTTGTATCCAAGTTGGGAATGGAAGACATCTATTCGTCAGCTTGAGGGGGAGTGTCAAAGAATAGCTGAGTTATAATATTGTTGAGATATTTTAGATATTTAGTTTTAGATTTAGTAGATTTATATCTAGATTTGATCTTATTCATAAATTAGATTATTTAGATTTGAGTCTATAAAGTCTGTTTGAGATTGCCTATTTATAGGCCCCTTATTTTGATTATCAATAAAAGCAAACTTTAGGATTTCCGCAAAATATTTTAACAACAATACTTACAAAACGATGGGGGAGACCAGACGAGGAAATAGAGAGCCACAAACCGGCACAATAAGCCGGCGCCGGCACCAGCTGACGACAGGTGGACGGAAAACAAATGTTGCACAACCAAGATGTGAATCACTCGAATTCTAGGGAGAGACCGAAGCGATGTGACACAATTGGGTACCCAAAGAAACACAAAGGCAAACCTTGGATTATCTTTTGGACTGACAACGGCCCGCCATCGCCGGTGGAACCGTGGCCGACAGCGAAGCTATTGTTCGATGAGGGTTAAGGAGGGATGGCAATCGATTTGGGGAGAAATGAACATCGAATTATGAAAAGTGTTGAGATGTTGTGTGTATATCTGATTTATAAAAGTGTTATCACGCCTTTACATATTTCTTTTTAGTTTTTTTTTTAATTTTTAAAACAATTTTGTTTAGATGTATATATATAATTTTTTTATATATAAATATTATATTTCTTCTTTTGTTACGATTTGACCTACGTAATAAATATATTTAGGACGATATTCGTTATAATTGTATTTGTTACAAAGAAATAAGCGAAACAAATAAAAATAAAAGTTGACCAAATATAAATTTTTTTGTCACGAAAATTTTCATAACAAAACCACTTTTTGCTACAAATTTATTGTTATAGACCATAAAACTACTACAAATAGAAAGTTTTTTGGTAGTGAGATCTTTATTTCTAGGTTAGAATAGGTGTAGGAAAGGTATGTTGGTTTATAAAACCATACATTTTTTATAAGCTAAAATTAATTTCCGAGTTCAAGGTAAACAAAAAAACACTTATTTAATTAATGACTAGAGTCCCAATATATAAGCCGTATAAAAAATACTCAAAAAACTTCTCACAAACTGTTTCCTGGAAACAACCACATCCCGGAAACCTCTCATAAAGAGTTCACCAAAATGGGATCATAATATCACTTAAATACCTTCATAAGCTTAATCCCTAAAACAACCGCAAGATCACAAAAAAAACCGTAATACAACATTCATTAAAAACAACTAGAATATCGCAGCAAAATACAAATGCAAAATATAGAGAGAAATTTTCTTACCTAAAGAGAAAGATAGTGCAACACTAACTCTACATTTACTCTATAGGTACAAATATATAGAAGTGATGGACGGTTTAGATCGTACGGTGGATATTAAAGCCTACAAGCTAATTGGGCTACATAGGTCGGGCTATGCTGTAGATATCAAAATATCCGAATGGTGTAAAAACTTAATATTGATTAAGGTTTGTTCATGGAATGGCAATATTTGGGTGAAATCTTCACTTTTGCTTTCTTCTATGGATACTCTACTTATTCAAATTCTAATTATGAGAATGTTAAATTCTAAAATTCGCAGACACAAAATTCCCTTTCTCTTTCCTAATTAACTTTTTTCATGTAATCTTTAACATTCAACGAACCAAATTTCCTCCAGCCACATTCATTGTTTGGATAACTTCATTCCTGGGATTTTTGAAGATTAATATTTCCAACTTAGTTCTTGGTAAGTTAAGGCCATATTGTACTGAAGGTAATAATGGGTATATTTTAACTTTAGTTTTTTAAATTCCATTTTAATAGCATTAGAAAATTTAGTAGAAATTATAGTAATCTTCCAAATCTTAAATCATGTAAGCCAAGATCAATTTGTTATATTGCTGATTCTTTGTTAAAGAAGGAAATTGAAAATGTTTCATCAAATGGATGCATAGCTACATTGTACTTGGGACAAAAAATTCAGCCAAATAAGTTATGTTTTAATTAGCTTTAGTAACCTTTTCATCAATCTCTTTTCATCATATCCCAAATGGGGAAATGGATAACCCATCTTTTTTCCTTATTAGAGATCATTAGGGTTTGCCCTCTGGGAATAGAGAATCATTTTTTTTTTTTTTTTTGCGATGGATGCCCAATCAACTATGTTGTTGTGTTAATGTTGTAACTGTCTCGGGTGAGTAGATGATTTTGTAATTAGGCGCTCAATTGGAGAGTGATATATACCAAATTCATGGATATGTATTATTTATATTGGTTATGGTTTCATCACTGAATACTACTTTTTTTCTAACAATAATGCATTATAATTGGATGATTGTGTAATCTTTCAATCTAAATGTTGAATCAATTATTTAATTTCAAAAATTCTTGGAAATAAACTTAAGGTTTCTTTTATTATTAATCATTTTTACAGTCCTTTACTTCCACCTATGGAAATTGCATAATGAAAAGAAGCATGTGGAAAAAGAAGACAGTTTGGAGAAAAGAATAATGTAGATGAAACAAAAAAAAATTGAATGATTTTAAAATTTATATTATTGGAATTAAATTTCCCTGATCGATTCTCATGTGGTCAACTAAAATACATAATAATGAAAACTATTTCAAAGTTGTAATATCACTCTTCAAATAATTATCGAAACAGACCAAACAAACACAAATTTCATTTAGTTAATTTACATTGCAACAATAATAATATGAACTAATTCGTGAGGTTGATAAAAACAACATTGACATGACATAAATAAGTTATACAAAAATTCACATTCTCCTAAACCTTTCTTAACCGCTATCGTTATTTAACAATAACTATATAGATATAGTGAACCCAAAATCAGCAACCTTCTGAAATTCTAATACCTGAAAAATCAAAACAAAATAAGTGTTACATCGTAAAATCAAGTGAATGATAAGCCAAAATCTTTGAAGTGTTTTTAATGGTTTACCTTATGCCATCTTCAAATCTTCAACAAAGACATCGCATAATATAAATGTCATGACTTCATTTATTGATCGGAACTTTTTCCCCATAATAGTATGAATGTAATACTGCAATAAGTTTTTCAAGAGTCAGCTACAAGGGTAAATATGACGTAGATTATAATATGTCAATTTGTAAAAAAGTGCAATAAATTTGCTACCTTGTCCCTGCATTCTGAATTGTTAGAGTTGCGCTGCTCCACTATCCAATTCCCTAAATGTTTATGTAGGGTTAACATGCTCCTTCTTTGAAGATGGACGTGGTTAAATATTAGAACCATGGGCATTGTTGTTATATGTTCGCTCATGGCTACAATCGTTGTCGTTACTTCATGTGCATGGATTGTTGATTGATACCTAGTAATTTTTCCTCTTTCAACCTATTGTACCATTAGACAATAGTAATAACAACGACAATAACGACAACAACAACAACAATAATAGTAATAATAATTTGTACTTGTATACTTAATATGTTGTAACCTACGTACCTTATGCATCTCCAATATGTAGCAATGTAAGGGCTCACTACGTTGGAGAAGTGTAAAGAATATTCTCCATCTCTTTTCAATCATGGTAGTTGATAAACCATGCGTATTTTCCTCCGGGGATAAATGTAGCTCCTGTAATTAAATTTCTATTGTTGAGAAATTTTGATAATTTATAAGGAATGTTCGACATCATGATTGTAACACTAGAATGAAAGAGATGTGTAAGCGTTGGTGTTTTCATAGAATGATCAGGAATATGACTTTTTAGTGAAAAATAGATGAAAATTCTACTCATAAAGGAGAGGTTTCTACAATTACTCAATGACTATATTGGTGTTAACCTTCTTAATGAAGTGATTTTGAGTCTACGCACTTCATTCTACATTTTGAATATAATATAATTTTATTTGTTGTCACTAGCTATTGTACCTAGAATGTAAAGTTAAAATTTGTGCTAATAGGTATACACAATAATTTATTCTATTATTGTAGTTTCATTGAATATAAGGCATGCCTAGATAGCTTTTCTTTCAATATAATTCATTCAACCAAGGTACTATACTTTAGAATAACAAGTTTAATACGTATCCAAGTATTTAATTTTTATTAAATATTAAATTATTTCCTTAACTTTCTATCTGATGATTTCTTCTCGAAAATAACAATAGGATGTTGGATACACATACTTATTCTTCTTATAAGAAAAGGACAAATATTTTTATGGAATGTGAACATACACATTTTATAAGCGAAATTAAATAGAAAAAAAGAATTTAAAGTGATAGATGATTCTTTTAACACAATATGGAAAATATTACATACCAGAGGTTCAATTACTGGTGTGGGGTACAAAGACATATACGGCAACTAAATTGGAAAACTAGAAGAGTCTCCGGATGGAATATTGACTCCAGTCTTTTCCAACACATGGAAATTTGACATAGGTATCAATACGAAATATTAATAGTAACACATTTGACCATTTCTTAACATAAATGGCAAAATAGGTAAATGTATTTCCAAATAACAAATCAACATAATCATGGTTTGAAGTTATACAAAACGAGAAATTAGAGAAATGTATATAGCTGTATATAAATTTCTTACATATATAAAATATCAGAAAACCACTATGAAAAATATTAAAATCTTATGTAAGAGATGTTTGGCATGATTATTTGTAAGAATAAGCAAAGACAGGCCGGAACAAGACAAACCATAGACTCCCTCGATGTTGAAGGAACTCCAGTTGATTCCATTGCTACAGTGATCTGCAATAATGTACACTATGATATATTATATTATCATACATCATAACTGAAATCCGATGAATTAGTTATGGCTAATGAAATCCTATGAAACTTGGGAACAAGATCCCCACAAAAATGCATAATATGGAAACTCATTTCTAAGGGTAAAAACAAATGAATGAGGAAGCAGAAACACGGGGATATAAATATCGCATATACAATTTCTATTTATGGCATATGATATCATATATAGATTTAACATACTTCTTATTTTAAAAGATTTTAAAATTTAATGTACGAAAGTCAGTTTCGGCACTTTGTGTGCTTCGATCGATTCTACTACAAGCTTGTTCAAGTATAAAATCTTCCAATTGATACGAAAAAGAAAAGTATGTAATTCTTAGAGGAAAATCTTAAAAATTATGTTGTTTGTAAAATTGAATAGACCATACCATTAAAAATAATTTTCTTCTCACCTGTACCTCAAAGGAAATACTCGCTTGGTTTTTTCTTCACAATTTCGGCCAACCCTAGATCTGTATCAAATTTGAGTAAGTGAAAGAAGAGGGTAAACCAATTTATATAGGCTAGGGTTTCATGTATTTGCAAATCAATTTTGGGCTTGAAAGAAAACCCACAACTGTTTCCCCCTTTTTTTTTTCTTTTATTTAATCCAGGTTTCTAAATTCGAATTGAAAATAGGAAAAAGTCTTTTTATGTGAGCTATAATTATTTTGGGCTAAAACTCTCAAACATTTGAAAGTCGGTTCCAAAATTCAGTTGAAATAAAAAAATAGCTTACTTATTCTAGCCCATATAAATTTTGTTCATTTATATTCAATCGACTAAAATAATGAAGCAAGTTGTTAAATAAAATATAATATATTTCATTAATTTGCTAATAATATGAAAATGAATTTCATTTTTTAACTGAGTGATTAACTTTTAAAAAATTATGAATTTTCTGATTTCCATGGACCTATTATATTATTATCCTCAAAGTAGTAACGAATATGTTTAGAGTATAGAGACTATAAAGACTCATGTGTTAGTGTGGACGGGCCAGAATTGATGTTTATTGAGATCTACTCACATCCTTGTTGTCAATATTGCATTAATAATAATAATAATAATAATAATTCAAACTTGTATACATTATATGCTGTGAAATATATACCGCATGTGTCTTCAATATGTAGCAATATATAGCGCCACTACTTTACAGGAGTCAAGAAAATATTCTTCATTTCTTTCAACTGTGATTGTTAATAAAAGTGTATTATTTTGCTGGCATGTTTTCTCGGAAGATAATTCACATAGCCCCTGCCATATACATTTTTTGTTAGTCCATAGAAATTTAATTCATCAGAAAAATATATAATAATTATAATTATTAAAGTAGCATGAAGTAACTAATTTTGGTCGAAAATGTATATGAAAAATATATATATTTTTTAGTTTATAACCTATAATTGTCCAACAAACTAAATGAAATATTGTATGACAGACGTAAATGGTTTTATACCATTGTAGATAACCTCCAGGTTTTTATAATATATTTATCTTTAAAAAAATGTCTAACGTTTTTAACTTATTTACTTTTCGACATATTTGACCTAAGCATTACTAACAGAAGTTATTTTAGATTCATGGGTTCAGATTTAGCGCATATATTATCCCTTTATTGGCTATAGAGGATTTTTTGTGAAACTGTATGTTTAACTTCAAAGCTAGGATCACCACATATTATTCTCCCTTCAGCAATAATTCTGAGTATTGAAGAATATCAATACTTGCATCAAGCCGATTATAAAAAAATTATGCATTCGAAAAATTTGAATGAAGACTCTTATTTAAAAATTAATGTCCTTTTAATTATGTTCTCAATTAGGTCTTAAATACAAAACCATTATCGGAAATGGGGTAGTGCAAGTTTTATATATATTTATTGGTACATTGATATATATATATATGGGGTAAGTGGGCTAAAATCTAATATCTAGAAAAACAAAATTGTTAGGTGAGAACTAAAATAAATAGCTATAAAATAAGGTTGGAGCTTGAGTTCAAAAAATAATTAACAAAAATTTAAACGAATGAAAAAAAAAGTAAAAAAATATATATTATTGCAAAGGATCCCAATATAGATTTTAATACACTTTCTAGTTTTTGTAACAAAAAAACGACAATGAATTACTCACACCTTAGATCCTTTGCATTTTTCAGCTGAACTTTCTACTATATGGCCTTTCAATTGTCACAAAAATAAATCTATTTTTTTTTTCAAAAAAGCTTAAGCTTCAACACACCTTCATTTCAAGAATTTTTTTTAACGCCGAAAAAAAATAAATAAATAAAAGCATTTGGTCTATAAGTCTTTCTCATGCTCCAAATGAATACTAATTAGATATATTTTCCCTTGTGGTGGCTGAAAGACGAAATTCATGTACCTTTCTCCTCACCTCTTTGCAAGCGCCCAAGAACTCTTGTAGAACTTTATTTCTAGGTTAAAATAGGTGAAGGAAAGGTATGTTGGCTTATAAAACCATATAAAGCAACCATATAAAAAAAATACTCAGAAAACTTCTCACAAACCGTTTCCTGGAAACAACCACATCCCGGAAACCTCTCATAAAGCATTCACCAGAATAGGATCATAATATCACTGAAATACCTTCAAAAACTTTTCCCTGAAACAACCGTAAGATCACAAAAAAACCATAATACAACATTCATTAAAAACAACTGGAATATCACTACAAAACACAAACACAAAATATAGAGAGAAATTTTCCTACCTAGAGAGAAAGACACTGCAACACTAACTCTACAATTACTCTATAGGTACAAATATATAGAAATAATGGACGGTTTAGATCAAATCCTTAGATCTTACAGTGGATTTTAAAGCCTACAAGCTAATTGGGCTCCATAGGTCGGGCTATGTTTACGGACATATCAAAATATCCGAATAGTGTAAAAACTTAATATTGATTAAGGTTTCTTCATGGACCGGCAAAATTTGTGTGAAATCTTCACTTTTGCTTTCTTCCATGGATACTCTACTTATTCAAATTCTCGTTATGAGCATGTTAAATTCTAAAATTTGCAGACACAAAATTCCCTTTTGCTTTCCTAATTAACTTTTTTCTTGTAATCTTTATCATTCAACGAACCAAATTTCCTCTAGCCACATTCATTGTTTGGATATCTTCATTTCTAGGATTTTTGAAGATTAATATTTCCAACTTAGCTCTTGTTAAGTTAAGGCCATATTGTATTGAAGGTAATAATGGGTATCATTAAATTTTCTTTTTTTTAAACTACATTTTAATAGCATTAGAAAATTTAGCATAAATTATAGTGATCTTCCAAATCTTAAATCATGTAAGCCAAGATCAATTTGTTATATTACTGATTCTTTGTTAAAGAAGGAAATTGAAAATCTTTCATCAAATGAATACATAGCTACATCGTACTTGGGACAAAAAATTCAGCCAAAAAAGTTGTGTTTTAATTAGCTTTAGTAACCATTTCATCAATCTCTTTTCATCATATCCCAAATGTGGAAATGGATAACCCAACTTTTTTTCCTCATTGGAGATCATTAGGGTTTGCCCTATGGGAATAGAGAATCATTTTTTATTTTTTATTTTTTGCGATGGATGCCCAATCAACTATGTTGTTGTGTTAACGTTGTAACTATCTCGGGTGAATAGATGATTTTGTAATTAGGTGCTCAATTGGAGAGTGATATATACCAAATTCATGGATATGTATTATTTATATTGGTTGTGGTTTCATCACTGAATACTACTTTTTTTCTAACAATAATGCATTTGTTGTTTGATTTTTCCAAAAAACAAAGTAGAATTCGAAAAT